CCTCTGCATCTTATAAGTTTTCTGCATTGAATAGATATGACTATGGGAATTAAAAAAAAAAAAAGTCAGATCCACTAGTTGCCTTGACTCAGCACAAACTGGAGCTCCATGTGTCTGGTGAGGGTACCAGGGCAGGTAAAGGAGCTTTTTCAAAGGGACTGAAAGCGGTTCTGCTGTCGTCTGGGATGGGGGAGGAGATAGTGGGGTGCGGGGAGTTACCTGGAGAGCATAGTGCTCTGGCCCTGCAGGAAGAGGGTCTTACATGTTATGGGGAAAAGGGAGTGAACAACATAGCCAGTGTTCCAGGGTGGCCCAGGAACAAGGAGCAGATGATCTGGTGCCTAGTAAAATTCCAGAACCTAGCTCACACCAGGCCCTCACCCCCAGCGACTTCCTCGTTCCAGCTTCCTGCTCACACAGGTCCAGCATTCTCCACCTCAATCCAGGACCTCCTGTCAGAGGCAGGGCTGTAGCGTGACTCCCCAAGCTTAGCACAGGGCCTGGCTGACCCAACATAGGATGGATGGATGGCACTCTTCCCCAATCACCCCTTTTCCCATCTTCATCTATTGACTTCCCATCTCTCTAAAGGCTCCAGGAAACCCTCGCTGACTCCTCCAGGCCCCCACTGTACTGCATAGTAACCTCAATTACATATTTTATTAGAGTCTGCCCAGTACCTAGATTATGGGACTCTGAGTTGGTTTCCTCCATCCGTGCATAAACCTCAAGGGCAAGGTCGATGATCTGGTCAGCTCTGGTTCTCCACTGCACCCCACAGCAAGGGGCTTGGCACCAAGGAGGCACTCAACCAATCCTACAAACGAAGAGACAGAATCTACTCTTCCCTCCCTGAGGTCATTTGGCTCATGGTTAGTGAGTGGGGGAGTGTTAGTGGAGGGGGGGGCAGCTCCTGCCTTATCCTCCTCTGCTAAGAGAAGCTTCCATGGCCCCAGGTTCATGTGCACCCCCGACCCCACCTGTGAGTTCTTTTTACTTGCTCCCAGTCATGGTCACGAGAGGACTGGAGAGGAATAGTGACTCAGCCCAATTCATCACCACAATGGAAAAACCCAGTCACCTGTCCTCCTGGCAGCAGGGCCAGGGCTGCCTCTGTATCTGGAAGGGCAGCACGCCATACTGTTTTCAAGGTCCTTTTGTCTTTCACCTGCTGAAAAATCAAAGACTAAAGTATGAAGGAGCACTGCCGGTTGACACTGGATTTGCAGTGTGGTATGAATCTCAGCAAACAGGGATCATGTGTTCCCTCCATGCTGGCTCCGAGTTAAGTGCCCGTGTGCGTCATCTCATAGCAGTTTCACAACAAGCCCATTGTTATCTGAAGTAAGCACTGGTCGCTCTTTTGGCCACCAGCATCTGACACCCCCTTCATGCGGGGCAGAGCTCACCTCCCACTAGAGAAATTGAGAACAACTTTGCCCAGCCTCCCTTGCAGCTTTGGCAGAGTACCTGATCTGGGTGCCTCTGATCAGACACGCCCATTTTTTCTTTTTATTGGGGTAACATTGGTTAATAACATTATAGAAATGTCAGGTTACAGCTTCCTACTATGACATCTGCCCGCCACCGGAAGCGTCGTCTTCTTCCGTCACCATATATTTGACTCCCTTTACCCTCTTTGTCCTCTCTCCACCCGCCTTCCCCTCTGGTAACCCCCATTCTGTTGTCTGTATCTGAGTTTGTTTCTTTGTTTTTTGTTTGTTCATTTGTTGTTTTTTGTTTTACAGCCCACATATGAGTGAAATCATGTGATTCTTGTCCTTGTCTTTCTGACTCATTTCACTTAGCCAATAGCCTCGAGATCCATCCGCGTTGTCGAAAATGTAGCCACGCCCATTCCTGACTGTGAATTAGAAACCGGTGGCATGAGGAAGCCCAGACCACACAAAAGTCATACTGGCAGGGATGCAGCAGTGGCAGAAGCACCATCTCAGGCTTCAGGGGCAGCCATGGTCCTGATGGCAGTGTCCAGTGTCCTTGCCCAGGGGTGGTGCTGGCTGTGCCCGGGGATGGCAGCAGTTTTGACACCAGACCAATGCTGCAGTGCTGGGCCTGGCCCCTGAGATCCTGAGAGCGGCCTGCCCCCATTTTAACAAAGCCCTTTTCCTGTTTAAACTAGCCAGGGTAGGTCTACTATTTCCTGCAACTATCCCTACTGGTATATCAGCCCAAGTTTCCCGATGCGGAAATGAAGGCTCAGAGATCTTCATAAAGGCTGTGTCCCCTCTCCAGCCAACGTGCAGGCCAGTCCCATGCCCGCTTTACAAATGGGGAAAGGGAAGTCCAGAGAAGGCAGTGGCTTGGGCAGCATCTTTCAGGTAATCAGGAACAAGGCTGGGGGACGCACCTTAGAGGCCTCCTGTCCCAGCCAACAGCTTGGCCCTCTGACACGCTGTGCTTTCCTCTGTTAAAAGTCCTCCCATCCAGCCTATGAGCACCATGCCCCCTCACAGGGAGGAAGCACTGAGAGTTAGCCTAGCCCTTCTGCTGGTTTGGTGGGGACTCCTCATTGCCAGGCATGCCTGACTCTTCCAGAAGGGGCCAGGGCACCTCTACCTGTCTGTTCTCTGAGCACTTTTGCTCGCCGCAGTGGCCCCCCAAGAAGGGGGGTGTTCTTACAACCACATTTCTTCATCATCTATGAAGTCTCCACTTTTAAGATTCAAATCCACAACCTGACCCACTTGAATGCTCACTTGGAGTTCATGGCTTATCTGAGCCAAGTGGATTGTCTACATTAGTTCGAGGCCATGGCAGACACCATTCCACACATGGACAGAAGTCATCATTTCAAAGCTCTTATTAGGCAGCCTTATACACCCTCCAGGGAATTCAGAAAAGGTCCGGCCTCTTGAATTGTGGTACTAGAACATCAACAATTTGTTTTGTTTAATGACTAGTTCTGAAATTATTGAAAAGGGTAGAACTCAGGAAAGCCTGAAAGAATCTCTAATGCAATAATTACAATTTTATTATCAATAATAACAGTGACAGTTTATTGAACACTTCAGCCACGTGCCTGGCACTGTACTAAGCACTTTCTTTATGTTCCATCATTTAATTCTTACAGGAACCCTCTGAGGTCGGCATCATTCCAATTTCACTGGGTATGACATGGAGACTCAGAGAGGGTAAGTAACTTACTGGATACCACACAGACAGGAAGTTGTAGAACCAGTCCATATTCTTCAGGACTCGCTCCGACTTGAATATATAGAACCAGTCTCCTGGATGTTTTGGATATAGCAGTTCACTCTGTCACCACTGACCTCCCCCACCCCCTTTACAAAAGAGGAAACTGAGAGGCCAGGACTTCCCCAAGGTGAGCCCCAGAGCTGTAAGAACCCAAGCTTGCTGCCTCCTATGTGGTTATAGACTTCATCCCAAGCAGGAATGTGCACCCTCTCTGGAGCCACCAAATATCACCAGCTTCTCAATGAACACTGGCGATCCCATTAATTCAATGCCAAAGCAGCTTCCAACACAGCCTGGGGCTGAGGAAAAGCTGGGGCCTCACCACAAACCAGCCCAGATAAAGGTCCGATGAAGGTAAGCGGGTGGGGGTAGGCTCTGCAGGCTCCTTGACCTCCCACCCCACTGCCATCCTGGACCTCCCAGATGACCTGGTCCAACACATTCACTCCATATGTAAAAGGCTGCCATCCGGGAGGGTCAGAGACTCGTCCAAGGTCACTGGCAGAGTCCGAATAGAACCCCGGCCCCCAGGAGCCCTCTTCTTAAGCTGTTTTACCCAAGTAAATGTTTTCAGGTCATCAGATGTCCATTCTCCCTACAATAGGACTCCATCCAGGGACTTCTGCACTCCCTCCTTTGGGGTGACAAGTGGGAGCAACGCCACGGGGCCAGACCAGGGTGAGCCTGAGGAAGACTAGGATCCCCCGGTTCCCTTTCCCCGCTTAGATAATGAAGGTGAATTGAGGGGAGCAAAGGCCTCACCACACAAGGGAGGGGGCATGGGGTGGGGCCAAGGGCCTAGACACTTTTGCCAGGAGACAGTCACTCCCACACGAGTCCCCCAAATAAACCTTCGGGTTCTGAACACTGGGTGAAAATGCCCCAAAGGTCCCTGAGCCCCTGGCTCTTCCTGACCCCCCAGGGCTTTGCTCCAGTGGTTCCCAGGCGGTGGCAGGGGTGGGGGAGAGGTGCTGCCTCCTCCAGGCTAGGGTTCCCCTCGGGAACCTAAACAAAGGCTGAGGCGGAGGCTGCCTCCTCCCCCGGGAGCTCCACGCCGCGCGCGGCCGAAGGAGGACCGGATCTGCGGGCGGGGCCTCCCTCCCCACCCGGCGGAGTCCCAGCGGCTGGGACCCTTCCTCCAGGAGCCTGCGGGAGGTGAGGCGGGGAGGATGGGGGTGGGGGATGAGCATCAACCCGAGGGTCTCCGCTAGGCTCTGGCGTCTCGATGTCCAGCTCGCCCGCCAGCCCACCCACGGGAACGCCCACCGCGGCGGGAGGCGGAAGCAGAGCGCCCGGGACGGCCTCCAGGGACCAGTCCCCGCGGCGGGCTCAGCTGGTGTCCCCGCGCCCACGCCCGCCACGCCCACGCGGGCACGCCCCCGCCAGGCCTCCGCCCGGCAGCGCGCGACCTCGGGGCCCGGGGCTGCAGCACCTGCACCCGCGCGTTGGCGGCTCGGCGGCTTGGCGGCGGCGCGGCCCGGCTCCCCGCCTGCGCCTCTCTCTCGCTCACATCGCCCTCGGTGAGTTGGCGCCGCCCTCGGCCCTTCTTCCCCGTCCCCCTGCCACTGCGGCGTCGGCCAGCCCCGCGCCCCGGCGCAGCCACAGCGCGCAACCCCAGACCCGCAAGCTGGGCGCCCTGTGGCTGGGGCCACCCTTCGCCGACGCCAGGGCCGCACCCCCTCCGCCTCTACCGCACTCAGGCTCTGCCTCCTCGCCTTCCCAGCCAGAGGCGGGGACACCCGGGGCCACGGCCCCTCCACTGCCCGCGACACCCGAGGGTGGCAGGGCCTCTTTGTTCCGGCGGCGGGTGCACGGCCCCCTCCCGTCGCCCCCAGAGTGTCACCCGCACCCACGCCGCGCGTTCCCTCCGCCTCGCGGAGTTCACCCAGACCAGGTGGCGGCGGGCGCCTTTTAGGGGTGCGCGGTCGTGCAATTGGTGGATTTTTTTTAAAGCGTTTTGGAGGGGGGAGCACGCCGTGGGGGGCGGCGAGCGCGCTCCTGGCTCTGGCTGCGGCTCCTGCTCCGTTTCTCCCTCTCCTGCTGCTTCGCTCCTCGCGCTCCGCGCTCCTCTGTCTCCCCGACGCCGCAGCCCGGAGCTGGGCAGCGCCGGGCGCAGAGATGAAGGTGCTGGGGCACAAGCTCGAACTGCTGACAGGTACCACCGGCCCTCGCCGCCCGCCAGGGTCCTAGTGGGGGCGGGAGCGGGAGCCGGGAGCGGCGGCCCGGGGTTTGGGCGGCTCGGGCTGGAGCTAGCGGAGGGGCTGCGGATGCCGGCGGAGCCCTAGCCTGTGCGGAACCCGGCCCCGCCCTGCTCCGCTCCCTGAGTCCCTGGCGTCCGGGCGGGTAGAGCGTGTGCGGCCTGAGCTCCGGGCAGGAGAGAGGCCCCCTGCAGTCTCCGAGTAGCCAAGCTCCAGTCAGGTCCCCGAAAGAGGAAAGGAAGTTTAGAACCGCTTCCTCCAATCAGTGTCACTCGGTCCCCAGAGAAAGGAGCGCCCCACAGACCCCCTGCCATGGCCTCTTATCCCTGCTCTCTGTGACAGGCTGAGCGCTTCTCCCAGTAGAAGTTTCCTGCTGAGAGTAGAGGCCAAGTGGCCTGGGAAGTGGGCATCCAGATTGGACCTTGGGGACTGGGGACCCTCAGCCTTGGGTTTCCTCTGGAGAAGTGGCCAGACACCAGGCTGGAACCCACACCCAGGGCCCTGTAGCTGGAGGCCAACAGAGGACACTGGATGTGCCCAGAGGAGGAGGCAGGAAGGGGCAAGGCCAGGGGGCCAGGGGTTGGAAGGCTGGGGCACACAGTCCCAGGGCAGACTGCACAGGCAGCTTCTGTGGGAAGATGTGTGGAGAGACTGGGACAGGAGGAAGGGGGCCAGGAAAGGGACACAGTCTGCTCCCACCAGCGCCTGGGTCGTGGAGGTGCTCCATCAATGTGTCCTGGATGGACACGTGGCTTCCAGTACATGTCCTCTGGCGCCCGGCGGGTTTGGTCCCTGACCTCTACCTTACCATCTGGTGCAGGAGAACAGAGCACAGGACCCTGCTACAAGACAGGAAAGGGGGCAGCAGGGTGGGGGTGCCCCCAGGAAACAGGCTGGAGTCTGAGTGGGGGACAAGAGCAGAGCGATTTGAGCATGTGGCAGCGTTTGAACTGGATCCTGGAAGATAAGATTTCTATTAATGGAGAGGGAGGTGGCATTACAGGCTGAAGGATGGAGGGACTGGCATAGGCAGGGTGTGAGAGGCTTGAACTGGGGGTGATGTGAAGTGGAGGCTGGAGGGCCTGGGGGGGGGTGGGGAGAGAGAGAGAAAGAGAGAGAGTTTGAGGAGTAGGTGGGGTGAGGTTTCAGGCTGTGAGTGTGTGTTAAAGCAACAGTGGCTGGCTGCTCCTTGGCTTGGTGGCAGACTTCTAGAGAGGTGAAGGTGGGGCACTGGCAACTCTGGCCAGGTGCTCAGAAGTGCCAGATCTGAGCCCAGGTAGCCACCAGGCTGGCACCCTCTGCAGTTCCTTACCAACTTTTCCTTGTAGAGCTCCCTTGAGGCAAGCCCGCCCACCTGGCTTTAAAGGGGACTGCACAGGGCGCTGAACTTGTTAATCCCCTGGGGGAAGGCTTTTTCTACCTAATGGGTTTCCATAAGCTTGCATGCAGGACCGAACTCCTGGACCCTTCCCCTCCTCCTCTTCCAGCCCCAGCAGGGCCTGGAGGATGAATGCTCTCAAGATGCATGTGTGGAGCTCCAGTGGGATCCAGGCTTTGAGGTCCCCATACAGCGTGGTATGGGGTACAAGGGTCAGGGCCCTTCCTCCCCCATGAGACAGGCTCTCTCAGTTCTGGCCGACTGTCTATGGCCAGGCTGGAATAGGACCCCCTGGGTTGCTGTCATTGATCACAGATGCACCTCTCACCAGCCCCTGTCAGCAGTCGCTATCTTGTGGTCTTTGCAGCCATCCCCCTCTTTCCAACTCCCTCCCGTCCTCTCCCCTGTCCCACAGATCTGGGTTCAAGCCCCAGCCCCACTCTGGCCAGCTGTGTGATTTCAGACAGGTTGTTTAACCTCTCTGACTTCAGTCTTCTTGTCTTAGAGATGGAGCCATTGCGCTCCCTCTGAGAGTTGGTGTGAGGCTCTCTGAGATGGCACAGCTGACACACCTGCTTGGAGCCTGGCCCCGGTGGGCACCTCTCGGGCTCCTTGATCTTGACTGTCTCTGTAATAGCCTTCGCCTTCCCTGGCTGGTTGGCCACTAGGAAGTTTGGATCTGTCCCCACCCTACTTAATTCTCGCCTGTATGCATCTGTGAGATTTTGACCTGTCTTCCTGCTGGATGGTAAACAGGTCACAGTCAGGGTGGCCAGGTTCTTGTGGTAGCATACAGCAAGTACTCAGTCAACAAGGAGTAGCCCACGTAGCCCACCCATCAGCTGTCTCCAGAGTAATTTCTCAGAGGTCTCCAATTCCTTGCCCCCACATCAGCATTAGGAAATTGTTTCACTGAATCTTTTCGTTAAACTCACGTTTGTTTAATTGCTTATAGTTTTCACATTCTCTTATTTTATTACCATGCCCAGTTTACCAATGAGATCAGTTACTCCCTCACATCATACTCCTGAGAAGAGGTGAGCTTCCCACCTGCGCCCTGAGCCTTGACTCGCCCCACCTGTTCCAGTTGCCTGGCTTTGGGCCATTCTTGTAGCTGCTCTGCACTTCACTTTCCTCGTCTGTAAAATGCGATCGTCATGGTACCTACCAGGTCGTGCTCTTCAGCAGTGAGATGTGAGCGTGTGTAAAGTGTTGTGGGCAGCGTCAGGCAGGACGTCAGCAAATGGCAGTTATAGGGCTGTTGTCCCTCAGCTGCCTCCTCAGTGTCCTGGGGTGCCCCCCACCCCCTGTGCTCCATTTGCCTGAGGCCTTTCCTCTGCATGTTCCAGTTCCTTCTCTGGGTTCTCCACACAGGTCAGGCCTCCCTGAGATGTGCCTCTGGAGACCCTGCTTAGGTCTCAGGTTCCCGTCACAGGGGACGAGGTAGAGCAGGACACCTGGGGTTGGTCCCTGCTCATCCGCAGCTCTGACACCAGCTGGGGATAGCTGGTACCCCTCACATGCAGGACTGGAAGGATGCCCATGAGTTGTCATGCCCAGCCTGCGCATGTCTTTTTGTTCTGGAGAGAAGAGGGGGTGGTAGGGGCTGTCCTTGGAGGCTGCATGGGTGACTAATGCATTTTCCAGACTCCTTCACAGTGTCTCTCAGGCTCAGGAAGGGCAGGGTCTTGGGAATCAGAGGATGTGAATTTCAGGGTCTCCTCCCTTCTTCTCAGCTCCTGAGAAAATTCTTAACTACTCTGAGCCTCAGTCTCCTCATCAGTCAAATAGGACTAATGGCCCTACGTCATTAGCATCATGAGAAGGTGCCCAGTGCCCTGTCTCGCCTGCACACAAGCTCTGCAATCCTCAGAGGTCAGACTCGTGGTACCTTTTGTAGCGGATGCTTTTTTATGTCTTAGTGTGATGTGGGAAAGTAGGACATTAGTCTATTTGCAGGTAGAAAGGTGATGATTTTTGTGTGCTTTGTACTCAAACAAGATGTCTCCAAAATGGTTCGGAGTCAGAGAGACCTCTATCGTTTGGGCTCTGAAATGGTCCCTTGGGGGCCTCGGTATTGGATGTTAGAAATTTTTTAAAAATATACTTGATGTGTGATTAACAAGCAAAACTTTTCTGTCTGGAGTTTTGGTGTCATTTTCATGCATGGAATCTATAGCCCCGCACAATGCCATAGGCTACATTTAGATAGGATTTGATCGTTGGCAGGTTGTTGACCCACATTTTACATGTGGCGGAAAATGAAGCATAGATTTACCCCAGGAGGCTGAAAAATCAGACCCCGAATCCTCATTTCCAGTTCATCCATTTCAGTAAACATCACTGCTTCACTGGGGCATCGCGATGTGGGTGTGAGGCACGCACAGGTGAGGAGGGAGGCATGGTGTGGAGAAGGGGAGGGGCGTGCAGATCACTGAGCCTGCCCCGGGCCACTGGTGGGGGCGTGGGGAGATGAGCATACCATTCCACGGCGCATAGGAGGGCAAAGACTGGTGCAACTTTCATGAAGGGCAAGTTGACAGTGATATATCAAAAGCTCAAAAATGATCTGTGACTCAGCAGTTGAATTTTTAGGAACACATAAAGGTGTGTGCAGAGATGTTGGCTCAAGGATGTTTAGCTCATCGTTGTTTATAGAAGAAGAAAAAACAAACTGGAAACAACCTAAATGCCCAACAGCAGAGGAGGTTAAATAAATGGGAGTGCATTCATACCAGGGAACTGCAGGCAGCTGCAAATTACGCTGCCAAAGTTATTTACCCGCTTGAACAGATGTCCCCTTATACATGTAATAATAATGGTGAGGACAGCTTACACTTACATGGCATTTGCCATGTGCCAGGCACAGTTCTAAATGCTTTCTATACATTAACTCATCATAACCACCCTATGAGGTATGTGCTAGTATTTCCTCCTTTTTACAGATAAGGAAACTGAAGCACAGAGAGGTTAAGTAACTTGCCCAAAGTCACACAGATGGTAAATGGCTGGCTGTAATTTGAACCAGGATATCTGGCTCCAGAGTCCAAAAGATGTTTCAAAATAGTGTTTTTTGTTTTTAAGAAAATTCTTTTTTCAGCATATAGATTACCACTGAAAAAAAGAATAAAAGGGTATAAGCAAAAATGTTAACAGTGGTTTCCTCTGGTTCGTATGTGATTTTTGCTCCTTTTTGATCTTCTGTTTTTCTGACTTCTCTCAGTGAATGTGCATTGTGTGAAATTCAAGTTCTATTTTTTAAAACTAAAAATTAACAAATGCGCCAGGTAAAGTTCTAAGTACTGGGGTGCTGATGAAACTAACCCCGTGGGAATTCTGTTGAAGAGCTGAAGTCCAGTGCTGTGGAGATGGTGGGTTCTTGGAAAACTCCAGGGAGAAGGAGTCATTCCAGGTGGATATTGAAACTGGCTTTCCCTAAGTACAGGGGAGAGGCAGTCGCTACTGGCAAACCGACCATTTCCGGCAAAGGTAGGGTCCCAAAAAATGTGGGGGGGGATGGTGCGGGGGTAGCTAGGTTGAACCCCCCCAAAGATACTCAGATCCTAATCCCTAGAACCT